GGGGGAGGGGGGGGGGGGGGTTTACAGTTTTTCTTTAAACCTGATCAGGCTTCTGCAGGCAAAGTGGAGGTCTGTTAGACCTTGTTCTGGCTTTTGCAGTTATGATACCACAACATTTGAGAATGCCTGCAATATATAGTTTAAAGTTTAATAACTAAAAATAAGTTGTGTATTCATTTCTTTAAACCAATCCTAACCCCAACAACATGATTTGTTTTATTCATTGGGAAATTGCACAAATTGGGTTATCATTTAGGGGATTGTGGAACTGCCGGGTTTAACTTTGGCTTAACATACTGAATGAACCTAACCACTCTAATTATAAATCATGGTTTGTAGCTTAGCATGCTGCATGAGCCCAGCCAGTTTGGGTTCACTTAAGGAAGCATGATTAAGCAAGCGAAAGCATATTGGGGGAGTTGACACCGCACCACCCTCAAGCTTCACTCCACAGGCAGGAATGAATCACTTAGGCAAGCTGTCAAGAAATTCAAAAACTACAGATAAGGAGGATTTATTGAAAAAAGCTACATCAAAGCATTTCGGCAGCTACAGTGATTCAGGAACAAGCCTGTATATAGAAACAAGGTTCAAACTCCCTTGCATTTCCTTCCCACCCTTCTAAACAGACTGGCTTGGCTCCTCTTTTGACTGATGAATCAATTATCCATGTTTCTATACCACCGGACTTTAAAAAAAAAAAAAAAAAAGACTTCCCACAGTTTACACCATAAAATATTACCATAAAAGGATAGGCATGATGATAGGTGAAGTAAGAACACTGAGCAAAAAAAGATTTCTAGAGCAATTTATGTAAAATAAAAGTGTCTCCTTTTGTAAGCACAAAAGGCACAGAAGTGAGAGGAAAGATGGTGATTCAAGCATCAGTTCTTAAAGTTTACTTTACAGCTGTTATAGGAAAGAGTTAAGAGGAGGAACCAGACAGAGGTGACCTTTCCAAGAGATGTTGAATGGTCCTGTTTCCTGTCTCTCTCTGCCACAACTAGCCTAAGAGCATCCTGCATATAATGGGAAATGTTTCATTAATCTCTTCTTTATTTAGGGAATAACATTGAAGGAACTCAACAGGTTATCTTTTGATATGATTTTGATGAGTCCTCCTTGTCAGCCCTTTACAAGGTGTGTGCTTCAAATATCGTTCTTTCTATTTAAAGGAGTAGCAAAGTTAGCTCTACATTAGAACACAGCATTATTTGAGAATAATTATTTGCATTATTAATTGCTTTTTTCTTCTTTAAAACATGATAACATATAAAGAATAGTGGAGATTATAGGTTGGATGCCAGGGAAATGAAGCTGTCTACCAGGATTTGTGCTGGTCATCTGTTTGGTCGATCAACACACTCTTGACTTCTGGCAACTGCCTGGACTAGTCCCTACAGTTTTCTTGGCAAGATTTTCGAAGTGGTTTGTTATTGCCTACTTCCTAGGGCTGAAAGAGAGTGACTGGCCCGAAGTCATCCAGCTGGCTTTGTGTCTAAGGTGGGACTAGATCTCTGAGTCTCTGAGTTTCTAGCCTGGTGTCCTAACCACTAAACACAACTGGTTCTCCTGTGAGTGAATTTGGATTCCTGGCAACTTTATGGAAGTGGTTTGCCATTATCTTCTTCTGGGGTGTTTTTTTTCAGCTTCCCAACCTAGGACTGAGACAGAGTAACTGGGCCAAAGACACAACGCTGGTTTTGGTGCCTGTCCTTAGGTCTCCCCTCTCCTAGTCTACCACCTTAACCACTACACCAAATTGGCTCTCTTATTCTAGGTTTGTTAAACTCACATGTTGGTATTCCAGTTAACAAAAACCCTGCCAGCTAAACAGCCAAAGTGAAATTACTATTTTGCAGTAAAGTTGTTTTTATGTAATATAATTGTGTTTAACGGAACATTATGGTATTCTTCATTTTAATGCTACCTGGGTCTTCATTTTGACTCAC